AAACAAATTTTCTAATATGTTTTTATGAGAATGTACTAAAATTTTGCATTATTTCTCTCATTTTAATTTGACATTCTATTAATAATATATAATATTCTATTTTGTTTCAACATTTTAAACTAGTATAATAAATTGCTTTTATTTTACAGAACATATAGTTCTTAAATTATCAATTAATCTTGAAGAATTTTTAACTTTAATAACAAGTTATTATAGTTTAATAATAGCTGAATCAATACATTTAATTCAACTTTTATAGCTAAATTAATTATATAAACTATATATCAGTAATAATTAAATAATAAATTTGAAAATTATTTATTCAATTTAGTTATTAAATTTTGAACACATGCCATCATATTTCTATTATTATTTGTAGTTAAAAGTAGCACAAGAAGCAGTAAAAGTTACATGATATAATTTACATTTATTTAATTTTAAAATATTATTTTCATTAATTATTTTTTAAAAATAATCTCAAATATCAGAAGCAGTTTTAATTTTTTTGTTTGAAGGTGACAATAGATAAAAGTTAAGAAAATAAAAGAATTAGCTTTGCTAATATTATCAGATAATATTTTTTAATTATATGATTATCAATTTAAAATTTATTATATTTAATTTAGTTTATTATTTACATAATTTAAAAACATATAAATGTAATACATAAAAACATGTTTATTAATAAAGAATTAAAAACAATTGATCAATAAGATGAGAAGATTCTCTTTTATAAGATCATTAAAAGACTGATTTTATAATCAATCCTATCAATCCATTTTAAAAAGATTGATATAAGACCAATTCTATAACTAGACCAATAGTCTTTCAGCTTAGATCAAATCATTTTTATTTCTAATTGATTTAGTACAAATTATGTACTCAGGTCAAGTTTTTGAAAGGCTTAAAAAATATTTCAAATAAGAAAAGTTCTAAATAACAAATTTGTTAATAAACAAATCATCCTTTATAATAAATACCTGATATATTTTTATCTCTATCTTTTATTTGTCATAATAAATGTAATAAAATGAGCTTTTCTTGTTCTATATCGCTTGAAAAGCTCATAGAAATTTTTAATAAAAAAGTGTTTGGCCAATTGGATTATAAACCCGAACCATTAGACATATAAATCTAGTGATAGGAATTATAGTCCAAGTCTAGTCAAAAATAACTAAACTTTATAAAGGTGACCAACACCAAAATTACAGTTCTGATAAGATTTCATTTGGTGATGTAAAAGGTTTGTATCTGTTTCGATAATTAAACGAGGACGCGTCATTTTTCGATAAAAGACAAAAGTATAAAAAAGTGTTTTGAAGCGGATGTCACAAATCACAAATCACGTGCCTGTGAATTACGTAACCTGTGATCAACCAATGAAATTAACTCCCTATTTAATTTAAAAAACGAAAAAAAACGCGTATTTTAACAAAAAATATTTTTAGAAATGTTTGATTGTGTTTTTTTAGCACATATTCAGCTGAGTTCTGTCACCTTTTGCGGCCATAAGAAGTAGGGTTTCCGTTTGAAATACAAATTGCATTTTGAAAATCAGATATCCGATATTGAATATTTTTTTTTTTCGCATTTTCCTTTTTTTGTTTTTAGATAGCTTTAGCTTTATTTTTTATATTCTTTTTTTATTTATTTTATTTATTTTAAAATAAATAATCGATCGATAAGATCGATCGAAACGATTGATAAGATTTTTGATATTCGAAATCAATTCGATATCCGATATTCGAAATTGATTTCAATATTCGAATTAATTATGTATTTTCGAATATTTGAATTTTATTTATTTACAAACAAATATTCGAATATTCTATTTTCAAACGGAAACCCTAGCGAGGAGGATAGAACTGCACATCATGAGCTATATGCGACCATAAGGCGGTAACTTATTTAAAATTGTGTTTCTTTTATCTAATAAAGACACATGTTCATTTCTTAAAACGCGATTCTAACAATATATTTTTATAAACGAGAAAATCACTGTTAATTATGTGTTTTTATTTCAGTTCATACGCATATGTTGTTTTGGATTATCCTTTATTAATAAATTGTAACTTCATTGTTTAATGAGAATATAATATAATTGATCAAAATTAAATAGGTAAGTATAAAAAGAGAGTCGACTTATTTCAATTTAACGGTGTAACCTTCATTTTTTAATATCGATATATACAAGTTTAGTTACTTGTATGAATATTTCTTTAGAAAATAATATAGACGGATAGTTAAGTTAGAAACGTAAAATGTTTCTATGTAATTTTTGTATCTCTTTGCAATGAACACTGAATAAATTTGTTAAATCATCATACCGTATTTGTCTCAATACTGCATTTACGAGTTAAATTAGCGATTAGGTACAAATTCTGAAGTTTTTCGAAAGATTAAATCAATGACACGTGAAAGTCATAGTTTCGAAAGATAAAATTCTATACTTTTAGGAAAAGAAAATTAACATTTTCGAAAGAGGTTTTATTTGTCAAATTGCAAAAGGCTAATTATAAAAAAAAAAATTTTTATGTCAACCTTATGACGCACACGATAGCAGATCGGCAGGAATTTATCGATATTCAATTATTTACGATCATTAAATTACCCTTCACTTTTTCATTTTAAATATGGCGGCATATTTCGATTTTACGGAAAATAAAGAATTTGAAAATAATAATAAAGTTAGAGTTTATGCGAAAGCTGCGGTAAATAGTTGTGTTATTACGGGAATGGTGACTTGTGCATTGAAGAGTAATGAAAGAATGGATATAGTGTTTGCAAAAGTAAGTAAAACAAAATAAAGAGAAGGGATAATGTAAATGTGAACTAATGCATACCTTCTGCATTATAGGAAACCGTATTGGAGCTATTAGAGATGACGCCAGAAGGTACTTTAATATCAATATTCGAACAACCGGTATTTGGTACAATAAAAGATATTAAAGTATTACATTCAAGATTTCCGCATCCGATGATGTACGATCCAATCGATGGTCGTGTCCTATCGGAAAACGAAGGGAATTATGACAATCTAAGAAGAAGAATACCGGGACAAGATATTTTATTGTGTTTAAGTGATTCGGGGATGTTAAGTTTTCTGGCTTATACTGAATATTATAATGATGAAAGTAATTCAGATGGGACAAAATTTGATGGTGACTATAAAGGAAAAGGGAAAGCTGTTACGGGTGTTGTTAATTCATGTGTTGAATTAGGAAAGTTTCAAGTGATCAAGGAGGTAATTACAAATTTAATAAGAGATCAGTCAATCAATCAATCAATTAAATTAAATTAAAAATTTTTAATTTAACGAATTCAGTATTCCCTATCCGAACCTGGATTTGACTATCAACAACTTGGAAGTAAATTGTGTATTGATCCTACGTGGGTATTTTTGTGATTGATATTTTAAATATGAATCATAGTCTTGATTCACAGTCATTATTATAAATTTAGTGGAAGATTAATTGCGATATCAGCGTGGCAGAATAATTTTCAATTATTTACGGTATATCGTGGATCACAACTAAAATTTGATACAGTTAACCAAGTAAGTTAAAATATTAAAGTTTAATAAAAATTGTTTTTGTATTAATTAATATTTGTTTTGATTTTAGCCCAAAGAGCATCAACAAGACATAGTAATTTGGCATATGTCATTTATACATTCTATGGATGATTCGCGTATACTCTTGGCAATGATCGTATTTGACGAGAAAGAACAGCGACCTAATATATTGATATGTCAAGTTTTGGTGGCGGATTCACCTGAAAAATATGTTATTAATTATTATCAATTACGGTTAGATGAAGGTATTATAAAATTATTTTTCACGCTTCTTTCACATTGAATTTATAGGAATAATATATATATATTTGTATATTATATATTTAGATTGTTCATTACCATTACATCTTATACCATTGCCTAATTGTCCGGAAAGTTTTTTAATTGTAACTGTAAGTTTGGATGATTTCCAATACTTTTTTTATAGATTACAAGTATTTAATATCTCTGTGTTGTGTAGGAAACAGAGGTTTATTTTGTACAAACTCAAAATGTTATAATAGAGGATAATACATTTTACAAAGTTCCATTACCGACGGATGGAGGTGCATTAATGACATCATTTGCATATCCAATGGATGAATCAGCGTCGAAAAGATCATGTTTAATAGCGTCTCATCCAAAACAGTATATTTATGCAGGATTCGAAGATGGGACACTGTATAGAATTGAAATTATTGATGAGAGAAATATACTATTTTCTTTAATACATAAAGAAAATGGATTAAATCGTATTGGAGTTTGTATGACCGTTTTAAGTGTTGAAGAAAGTGAAGAATTTATCGTTATCGGAGGAGATATGAGCGATGGAGCAGTTGTCAAAGTATTATCAAATATGGAAGAAGTGGAGATAGCAAGTGTAATACCTAATTGGGCACCAATTTTAGACTTTCAAATGGTAGATTTTCATCAAGAAAGGCATGATGTAATATTCTCATGCAGTGGACTTGGTAAATATGGAAGTATACGGGAATTACGGAGAGCGATTGGTGTAAATGTTGTGACAAAAGCGGAAGGAGAATTTGATGGAGTTACATCATTATGGGGATTAAAAAATTCAAGTGAAGAATTAATGGACTCATTTTTAGCATTATCGTTTGCTAATTCTACCAGGTTAATGTTTTTCGGAGGGGGAGAACTTTATGATATCAGCGAGAGCAGTGGATTTGACTTGGAAGTTTATTCATTATGTGTTTCAAATATTTGTGATGTAACAGGAATGAAAGGAGTACTCGCACAAATACATCGAAAAGCTGTTATTATCAGTGAGCCAAGAATTGATGATTCATTAGTAGGAGAAAATATATCATTTCGATGGATACCACCAGAGGATGCAGTAATTGAGGTTGCATCTGTATATCAAAATATGATAATCATATGTATATCAACTATTAACGGAAGTGCTGTGAAGGTGTTGAGAGTTGATATTGAATATGAAATGTAAGTAATAATTTAAATTCGTGTGAATGGGATATAATAATATCTGATTGTTCTTTATCATAGGAAACGAGTAGAAATAGTTCAGACAGCGGAGATCTTATTGGATAGTCAACCTTGTTTCATTAGATGCTTTACTCCAAAGTACGTATTAACCTGTTATTAAATTATTCTGATAGCATTTTTTATCATTATTAATAACTCCTTTTTTTAGTTTAATAGTACCAATTCCAATGTGTATTATAGGAACATTCAAACCATGCGTAAAGTTTTTATCATTAGATGTGAACGGTAACTTATTAGAAACGTTACACGAAGAAACTTTGGAGGATTATTCGGTCACTAAAGTCAATATTCCAGAATCTGCATGTTTGATTGGTTATAATGAAAAGTTTTACTTCTTAGCTGGTAATATTTTATCGATAGAATTGTATTTAACTTTTTATATTATAATATGACAATTAATGAATCTAATTATTCCTTTAGGGTTAAGAGAGGGAACTGTTGTATACTTCCAATTTTCCTGGTCATTAGATAATAAACCAATCCTTAACAGACCAATAATAAGACGTATTGGAACATTTCCAGTAAAATTTATTACACCACAATCAAATTCTATGAATGAAAGCCATAATAATAATAGTATTGTATTAGCGTTGTCTGACAGGCCATGGCAAATTAAACATACTCTGCATACTGGGTTGAGTTTTTCTTGCGTTGCTTTTGAACATTATGAACATGTACAAGAAGCAGCGACGTTTAATTGTGATGAAACTATTAGGCAATCTTATATGATCATTAGCAAGGATTGTTTAAATTTCGTTCAATTGAATAATTTAATTAAAAATGATATTAGAACAATTAATATAGCCGATGTAAGTATTATAATCGGATTTATTTTTCAAATTATCCAAACATATTTTTTTTTTTTTTAAAAAAAAAAAACAAATTGGTTGCTGTTTAATAGACTCCACGAAGATTATTTTATGATGAATATAATCAATTGTTTATCGTTGCTTGTACAACTGACCAATTACCATTTCCAACTTCTGTCCTTAAATTGGTTGATCCTTCAAAGTAGGTTCATTCAATATCTGATATTTCCTTCTATATATTAATGTATGTACTAATTCTACTTTATAAGTGGAGAAATTAAATGCGAATACAAGTTATCCGAATGTTCTGAAACCATCTATTCTATTACCAATCTGAGTTATTCTACTGAGAGACAGGAATATCGATGGATTTGTGTTGGAACAGGAATACATGAATCTTCCAATGATGCCACAGCTCCTTTACCTGGTCATTTAAGCTCTTCTGGAAGACTCATGATATTTACCATAAAGAAGTCTTATCAAGTAAGAATCATTTCTTTTTGCAAAAAAAACAAGAAAATTTACTAAAATTTACTCGTATTATTTAGGAATCTGGAGTTATCTATGAACTAAATAAGATTAAAGAGATTAAGCTTGATGGAGTTGTTTATGCCGTTTGTCCTTTGACTGATAAATATATTTTGGTCGGTGAAGGTAGAGTTTTAAATATTGTAAAATTCAACCTAGAAGAGAAAAAGTAGGTAGATAAAATTCCATATTTTCCGTCATTGTAATGTTCAAACTAATAATAATTCTTCGAGTTATTAGATTGATGAAATTGATCAGTAAAGAATTGAGATGGCCGATAATATCAATAAATTCCTGTGGAAATAAAATATGTGTCGGTACACAAAAAGGATCTTTGTCCTTCTTTGAATTTGATGTTGAAAAGGAAAAAATCCATTTCTTAAGAACGTAAGTTTATTGTCATTACATTAAAGATTAAAGTTTATTGATTCAAAGCTAATCTTATTATAAAAATCAGAGAGAGATCTGCTCGGTTGATCGGGGATTCTATTATGTTAAATCAAAACTTGGCTATCGGAACAGATAAATGCGGAAATATTTTTGGTCTATTATATGATAAAGGTAAAAAAAAAAGTTTACACGTGCGATATTCAATATTTTAATAAGAAATAAAAATTTTCTTTTTTATTTATTTACAGAAAGTCCAAACATTGAACCATGTTTAAAACCATTATTTTCATTTTATGAAGCTGAGATAGTACCAAGATTGCGTATAGGAAATCTTGATTATCGTGTTGAAAATCTTGATACTAACGATAACAATGACAGTACCACTTCAACAGTTGAAGAGACAAATTTAGATGAAGGACAAGCAAGTGAAGGAAATAATGTTGACAATGATGAATTTGGTTGGGACGCTGATAAAAATTTAAAAAACTCTGCGGCCATTGTTGTAGGATGTAGTTTATTAGGTAGTGTTTTCTTATTTATGAGAATAGAATTGAAAGCGTTTAGGTTATTAAATGCTTTGCAAATCGTTTTGGAAAAGTGGCCAACCACTAAACCTTGCTTAGGTAAGAAACGATCCAATTGAAAAGTTTTTTTATTAATTAATTTTCATTCATTCATTCATTTCTTCACTTTTGTAGGTAATAATAATTCAACATTTCGATTATCAAATAATACAAGGCATAATTCATCGTATCAACCTACTAATTTAATTATTGATGGAGAAATGGTGTCACAATTTTTACGATTAAACAAATATGAACAATGGAAAGTTGTGGAAAGTGATTATAAATTATTGAAAATTGGTAATGAATTCTTGTCAGATGAAAGTGAAGAAATTAAGGATGAGAATTTCACAGATCGTGATAAAGAAACATTAAGACTTGAAGATGAGGATGTTGAAATGTGTGCGGTTTGCTCAGATATTAATTATGATGAGGTTATGATAATCGAACATAATGACGAACATGATGATGTAAAAGAAGAATTTAGTGATGATGTTAAAGGGAAAATCAAAGAAATTGTTGATGCATTAAATTCTATGCTATCGGAATTAAATATACAAGTATCATAAAAAGGGGACATTTAAATGATCTATTTTATTTGTATTTTTTTTTTCTTTACTTTTTTTAAAAAAAAAATTTATTACAATTTAGTACATAAAAATAATGAATAAAAAAAAAAAAATCTTATTAAATCAAGGATTAAACTCGACTAAAAATATCATATCCGCGGTCGATAAATATTTTTTTTTTCACGAAAAAAAAAAAAAAAAAATAGGCTAGGATTATGACAAGATATAGAAACCATCGGATTTGGTTAGAGATTACGAACCAAAGAAAGTAATCCTTTATAATTTATAAAAGTTTGCGATGTAACTATCACCTTTATTATTTTATTTTTATTTAACATTTTTAATTAATAATTTTATTTCATAAACGATTCTACTAAATACTATTCTAGTTTGAAATGAGACTTTTAATTAATCTAATAATTTTTTTTTCTCGTTTTTTTTTTAAATATTATTCGATCGCGCATAAACCACGGGATCTTGAATTGTCATTTAACAAAAATTTTATTTTACAAAAATAACAAAAAAAAAAAATTTTGATGTCTTTCTCTACTTAAAATCATTCGAGGCAATTGAAATGTAAATAAAAAAAATACATACTGTGAAAATAGTAAAATCTCTATCAATACCACCTTTTATAATTCAGTTTTAAAGTTTATATATTCTCTAATTATTTATTCTCTCTAAATTGCACGATCTTGGAAAAAGATGTTTATGGTCCCAAAGGGATGCATCAGAATTGAATGTATTCAATAAATAATAACTTTATAAATAAAGGTTTTTTTCGTTTTTTTTTCAACGTCGGGGTTTTAAGATCAATTCTAAAATTTTATTCCGAAAATTCGAAACACTAGCAGAGTTCATTTGTTTGGCTCTGCTAGTTTTTACTATAGACATTTTCCTACTATTTATTCTATAAATTGGATTTTGAAATCCGTTATTGAATAGATCAAGGTTTGGGATTTCAAATTCCGAAACAAAAAATGAGTGAAAAAAAAATAATACTTGATACTTTAATTTTTTTCATGCTATTTCATATCGTCTCAGAATTTGTTTCGACTTTCTTGACGAATCCATGTTGAAAATATTCATGGTGTTGCGCCAAACTTTAACCAACAATACACGTGCCGGGGATTATGGAAAATTCGATTAGTTTGTTTACGGATTTATGTAAAGAAAGGTAAGTTTGATTAGTTCCGTTACATATTTTTTTTTTTACTTGTGCAAAGCAGATAAAAAGGCAAACCGATGAAACTTACCCATTTTAATAGCGCTCACAATTCAAGAATTCCCCATACACAACAACGCGAAAAAATTATTGTAATATTTTCTGAGCAATGCAAATCAAAAGCTAATTAATCGATTAAGAATCATTGACACTTGAAAAATATTCACGTCAAATATTTGTTATAGCAATAACAAAGTCAATGATTCTAATTTCCTCTCTTTCGTTAACTATGAGTGAAAATTTTGTAACATTTTTTTTTTTTTTTTTTGTCTCGTTTTCGGCATATCAATAAACCATTCTTTCAAAGTAGAAATTTCCCAAAATGCGTTTATTAGTAAGCTTAAGAAAGAGTTATGATATAAAAGAAGTGGTTACTTCTTTTCAACTTGAAGAAAAACGAAGAGATAAAAAAATTCGAAAATTGTAAGTATTGAATAAAGTAGTTTGTTATAGTTGCATCCACGACGTATACATATTTTAGTTCGGCGTCCAAAAAGACATAATCAAGATGATGCTAAAAAACGATGATAGAAAATTTTGATATAAAATATAACCACCCCGAGTATCTAGTCACAGTACATAGAAAAAACAAGCGGCTTTTTTAAGGTAAAAATTTGTGAAATATTTATATGGTTGCTCTCAAAGTGTTAAAAATGTCTAAATTAATTATTTTTAATTTCTAGAAGCATGACTTACTTGAAATAATGGGAATATAGCAGGAAAAATGTATGGTTAAAATTGATCTCAAAATTCAAACGCAATATCTCGTCATAAATCCAGAATTAGTATGCAGGTTTCTTTCAATGATATAATTTAAAAGGTGAATTTTTATATTATCTGTATGAACCTAAAAAAATAAATTCTTATACGTACGATATAATAAAGTATTAGAATTAGCACGATAGTTAAAGATCAAAATTTATGGCAAGAATTTCAGAAATATGAATACTGACATTTTTACTTTTTGTTGAACCTTTTAATGAATTTTTTTTAAAAAACTTAACTAATCAAATGTTAAACGAAAAAGATTACAAATGCTTTAATTCAATCTAAAATAATTTTAAAGGAATGGAATTTTGCATGCTATTACCTTATCAATAACTGTTTTGCTAATAACAATGGATTTGAAATTTTTCGGAATATTTTTTCAAATATAGCTAATTAACTCTAAAATAATTTTAACTTTTTATTATGTAATTTTAAATTCTAAAAAAAAAAAAGCTTTATCCAGTTATTTTTTCAGTATTGTTTTAAGATAACAATGAGGGGGTTAAAGGTTTCAAGCTTTTCTAAGTAAGGCTTACCTTCGTTTTGGAATATGTGTATTTTTGGCAATTTCTTAATTGTAATTATTCTTTGACTTTAAAAATAGTTATGTATTTGGTAAAAGTAATGTTTATCAAAAAAGGGATTTGTTGATTTAGATCGCATTCAGATACTTCATATAAAAATAGCAATATTATGTTATAGGCCTATGATAATTTTAGTTGAACACGTTTTTTCAGATGGGCAGGGAAATAAAACCCTTTAAGCATGGGAATACTAAAATAATCCAGGTAAAGGGATCACGTGAATATTCTTTGAGAGAATAATAATCAAGTATAATTCTTCAAACTGGTAAATAATTATACAAGATGTATTAACGTTACCTTGATAATAATTTAAGGTTCATTCGGACTTTGGATAAATGTTTGCCTCCATTTGACAACAAATACACACGTGTTAAATACTTTTTGATGAGCGTTTAGCGTGCCTCGTATTATCCGATATTCTTGTTGGAGACCAAAAAGTTTTTTTTTAATAATACCATTTTAGGTTATTTCGTATGATTTGAAATAAACAATATGCGATGGAAGATAGATTAACCACCTTTAATGATGTTCAAATGACGTCCTGACCGTTCAACTCCTTGATTGACGTGAAGATTTCTTTAAAATTTCCATTGTGTTGAAATAAATTACAATGGTATATTTTTGTAAAACAAACGTGAAAGAAAGCGACATTAAAAAATGATACTTTTTAGTTTTGAAATGTATTATTTTTAGATTGATTAACGAAATGATACGCACTTATTAATTTAAAAGAATAATCGAAAATTTTTTGCTTTTACATTGTCCATAAATTTTTCAACTAGGTGATCCAATTGATAACCAATTTCATCAACATATTTCAAACAACAATATAAAACATAGATGTCTCATTTGAATAATTTAAAGTTACACGTAAGAAAAAAAGAAATTGTAATGTAGGAACAATACTATAAACAATACGTCTTGTTTTTATTTATTTACTTTTCTTGGATAAAAATTGGCAAATCATCATACAATATTATTATAATATTACATTACTATACTATAGTATGCCCAAAAAGAAAAAAAATTACATGTCCACATTGTGATATATATAATGAGTGAGTTTTCTTTAAAAAAAAAAAATAAAAAAAAAATAAAAAATAATTGTTTATGACCTTTTTATATAAAATCACTTTCTAACTTGAAAAAAAAATCAAAAAAAAAAAATTATTTAAAAGAAAAAGAAAGCGGGATAAACTTTCTATCTTTTATTATTTTTTTATTTCACTCATTTCTGTTTTTCTTTCTCTTTTTAAATAATATTATTCCCCAAAAAAACACATTTTAAACAAAAAAAAATGTCTACTACCATTGCAATTAATTCAATTAATATTCATTATAGTCCCGGAGACCATAATACAAATATAATTAATACGGTTAGAAGTGAACCTCCAGCTTATCCTGAAGATGATAACGATAACGGAATTAATACTACTACATCAACTTTAGAAGACGTTTCAATTCCAACATCCGTATACCTTTCTCCAAATTCTTCTTCACATCAAGAATTACCAACAAATCAATCATCAGAATCTCTCCCATCTTATGATAATGTAAAGATTGATGTGCCACCTTCTTATCCAGCCGAAAATACAACAAATTTAAAATTAGCTTCTTTTGACTCTCCTTATGATTTGGTTCCAATTGAACCTCAAAATCCCTGGTCCATCACCAAAAAACTTTATTTTTTTGGTTATCTATTATGGCCTTTATGGTTTATTGGTATTCCTTTTGGTTTTTTTGGAAAAGATCCGGAAACCAAACGATGGGGAAGAAGATGTATTTTTAATTCAGTTATTGTTAGCCTTGTACTTGTTTATCTCATTGTTGCTTCTAACAAAAGTTTTGCAAAGTGAGAGAATACAACATTATGACATTCATATATCATGGGTTTCTAGTATCGTTAAGCATAACTTTCTTTCATTTATCAATTTAATTCATTTCATTATTTCTTTACTAGAGATCCAATACACACTTACATACTCATCATACCTTAATTTCAAAATGTAAATATTCTAATCACAATCTTTCCTTATATATATTAGTATAAATATGTTAATTAATTTTTTAATTTACTTTGTAATTTTATAAAAAAATAAAAATAAATCTTGAACAATACTTAAAAATCGAAGATCAGTTCTTTATTGGACGAATTTGTATTTCTGATGCCACATGTTGGAATAAACTTTTTTTTTCTTGATAATTACAGATTTCTAAATTGGGTTTATTAAAATCAAAAATTTTGAAAAAAATCGAAATTTTCATTCCCCAAAGTTGGTTTTTGTTTTATTTTTTTTTTTTTTTTTTACGAGTTTCTTTATTCTATTTTTCTATAAAAATATACTACTATGTATGAATTAAATAATATAGAAGGAAAAGGAAAAGATGCTACTGCTGACTATTCTTCGACAAAATATACTTCATTAGACTCTTCACTATCAATATCAACGACGAAATCCAAACGTCCTGTAAAATTAAATCCTCCATTATGGAACACGTTGGAATTTTATATTCATTTCTTTATCGTAATCATCTCCATTGTATATATGTTTTATGTAGGATATCATATAAGTAAAGGTATGTAGAGGTGTAAATAAAATTATAAAAAGTTTTTTACTAATTTTTTTAATTTTTAATTTTATTTTTAGAATCGAATCCAAATTATGCTATATACTCTAAAAGGTTAGAGGATGGATGGCTTTTTGGACGTAAAGTGGCATGTGAATTTATTCAATCTCTCTTTATTTCTCGATCAATCTTTCTAATAATAATAATAGAAAATTTCTTTATTAATTTATAGGATAACAGTGACGCGCAATTTGCGTCATTCCGAGATAATTATGGAGCCTTACTATTGGCTTTAATATCTTATTTATTTCTTTCCCATTTATATCGAATTTACTTTGTACCAAAGTCCCCAGCGAAATTATCAACGCAACCACTTCGCAGAACCTATTTTTTCCTGTCATTTGCATTAATATTCCTTTATATCCTTTTTGGAAATAGTTTATTTAAAATATTGATCATCTTGAGCATTAATTTTTTAATTACAATGACATTACAAGGATCAAAGTTGAATCCTATCATTACTTGGATATTTAATTTGGCTGTTCTATTCGCTAATGAAAGATATGATGCGTATAAATTTGAATGGATTAATGAAAGCCTCGCATTTTTGGTAAGCTAAAAAAATTTCATTCATTCATTCAATTTTTTTTTTTTCATTTTTAATTTTTATACCTTTTCTTTTAGGATTCAAATGTAGGATTATTAGCTCGATGGGATGTCACATTTAACATTTGCATGTTACGTATGGTGTCATTTAATATGGATTATTATTGGTCATATCATCCCTCACCAGATTCGACTGAGGTAATCTTGGGAGAGTCATATGTAAATAATGCTTTTTCTTCTTTGGGTAACGCAAGACATCAAATTTAATTTGTAACCAAATTAAACAATTTTTTTTTTTTTGTTTTAAGAAAAATGATAGAGATCATGCCCCATTGACGGAAAAAGATAGAATTATAGGATCATGTTTTAAGGAGGATTATAATTATATTAATTATTTAAGTTATATACTGTATACGCCTTTATTTCTTGCTGGACCCATCATCACTTTTAACAATTTCATTTCTCAGGCAAGTAAAAAAAAAGTTATTAAATTATTTTATTCTATCATTTAAAAAGCAAATGTTTTAACAAATATTTTGATTTTAGTTGAGGTATCCAAAAGAAATTGACATAAAATCAACATTCTTTTATGGAGTTAGATTAATAGCGGCAATACTTACGATGGAAATAATGTTACATTTTATTTATGTTGTAGCTATAAGTAAATCAAGAGCATGGATGGGTTTTACTCCTTTTGAATTAAGTATGGTTGGATTTTTCAATCTAAAATATATTTGGTTAAAAGTAAGTAAAGACGAAATAGAAAAAGAAAAAAATGTTGAGATTTATGGCTAAAAAAAAATGATTTTTTGATTTGTAGTTGTTGATTATATGGAGATTTTTTAGATTTTGGGCAATGGCCGATGGATTCGAAGTACAAGAGAATATGTTGAGATGCATGTTAAATAACTATTCTACGTCGGGATTTTGGAGAAGTTGGCACAGAAGTTATAATAGATGGCTTATTAGGTAAGTCTCGCATTAATTTCTCTGTTACTTAAAATTACCTAAGTACATATACTTATATTTTTTTAATAGATATATTTATATTCCACTTGGAGGAGTAAAATATTCAACATATAACATGTTGATCGTATTTACATTTGTCGCATTATGGCATGATATATCATTGAAGTTATTAGCATGGGGTTGGTTAATTTGGATATTTATTTTACCTGAAACTATAGTTACTAGGATATTCACTGAAAAGAGGGTAAGCATATAGAGAATTTTTTTAAAGATGTTAAAAGAAATTTGTATATTTAATAAGTTTTGCTTTATTTGGTAATAGTTTGGAGATTACCCATATTATAGACATTTATGTGCAGTTGGTGGTGTATTAAATTTACTCACCATGTGGGCTGCAAATTTGGTCGGATTTGCCGTTGGATTAGACGGTATGAAAGTATTGTTAAGTGATATTTTTAGAACATCTGATGGTTAGTGTATATATAATATATATCTTTTTTCTTTGTTGAAAAATATGTTCTAATACAATTTATATTTGTTATTTTTATTTAGGTCTTATATCACTCGGTATATGTTGCATTTCTATATTTTGTGCTGTTCAAATAATGTTTGAAATCCGAGAAGAGGAGAAAAGAAAGAACATTAACCAAGAGATTAGATATTAATTATCAAATTAGTTTATTTATTTTCCTTTTTATAGATCTCATAAGTATTTTTATTTTGATGGCTATTTTAATGTCATTGTTAATATTCTACTTATATATATTATAATTTGTTTTTTTCAATTGATTTAAAAATAATAAAAAAAAAAACTCGCTTAAATTTTGATGTTTGGAATATAATTTTTTGATCAACATTTTTTATTTTCTAAAACAATCTATTATGGTTTGAAAGCTGCAATATAAAAAATTTTCATTCAAATTTGAATTTTTTTTTTTTAAAAAAAAAAGCTACATCAATCAAACGAAATTTTCAAATTTTCAAAAAAATACAACCATCATAATCTTCAATAATGAAGGTAATTTGTTTCTCTATATATATATATAGATATATTGCAATCATAAAGTTTTCTTGTTTTCTTTATCGTAACATAGTTTCGATTAAAATTTCTTTTCTAATCCTTTCCCTCGATTTTCGATGCGTTGATCATTGATTTTCCTTCCCTCCTAATTTTATATATTGTATTAATTTCTTCCTCAATTTACATCATAACTCATAACAAGCTCTTCATAATAAGAACTTCATTAGATCCAACACCGAGATTAAATATTTTCATATATGAACCTTCGATTTTTTTTTTTCCGTCTGAGCTGTGGTAAGGCTTTATTTATTATCATTTTTTTGTTGACAATCAAAGTTATCTTGTTTTCTTTATCGTAACATGTCGTTATATAGTTCCTTTCTAATCATTCCCTCGATTCCGATGCGTTGATCAATATTTTCCTTCCTCCATAATTTATAGATTTCTTCCTCACTTTACATCATAACTCATACTGAACCATAACAACCTCTTCATAATAAGAAACTTCATTAGATCCAACGCCAATTTTCTCACAATCATTCTTACAGGTAAATATCATAATGGTTCCCCATTCCATACCGAGATTAAATATACTTTTCTTATCTGAACCTTCATCGTCTCCATCAATAAATAAACTAGTAGATAAAATGGATAACATACTTGGCATCAATTGTAATTCAAAAACTCGTTTGGATTCACACCAACGACAAACCGGTAATTTTGACGTTGTGATCTTATCACTACGATCATCGATTTTGGAAAGTAGTAGCTTTGCAGTTTCATCACCACACGTGTATAATAATGGCTGACCATCAAATTGGTACCTAAATATTTAATTAATAAAAACGTGAATTAAGGATATTTGCAAATCAATACCTTTCAAAAATTACCCAAAGAAATGTTTATCTTACCTCACGCATTGATCAGGCCATTCCGCTACACGATCAGAAAATTTTTGAAATGTTTTATCATAACCTTTTGGTAAGATTGCTTTTTCATATTTCTCTCCAGACCATTCAAAATTATCATTTTCTTGATCCCAGTCCTGGTCTTCTTCGTATGACCAGTGCTTTTTAAAAACGTCATCAATTTTTTTCTCTTCCAACACTTCCTCAGTAATACACAGGTATTGTGCCGCAAATGATTTAATATGCTCGGGCCAACTTGCTGGAATTACGTAGATAAAAAAAAAATTGATTTGGTATCATTAAAGCAAAACCTAATAATATATCACGCCGAATATATTATAACTTACTATTTAATGTCATCATAGACATATCAACGGCGATTTGTGATATACCTTCATCATTATCCCTCTTTCTTGACATTTGACTCTTCTCATTTCGTGCCTTTTCCGCATCAGAAATGACCTGACTCCAAGAAGGTTGCCTTCTTGTATCATATGTCACCTTTTTTTTGATTTCTTGTTGAGACAATTCATCTTCATAATCTTTCACTTTATCAACCCTTTCTAATTTCTCATCTTTCTTTAAAACCTTGATATAAAAATTTATTAAATAAGGAATTTCGTCAAAATGTAATAAATTAAAGATCGATTGATAATCTACCTTTTCTTCACCATCAACGGCAAGAAACTGCATATCATTTACGTCATTTGCATTATCAAAATCTATAATTCCAAATAACATATCACCTAACCCTCTATTTATAACCTGAAATGTATTGATTTTGTAAATGAATTAGAATTATTCTGCGATAAAATAATAGACGATTTTATGAAATAAATTAAGCAAACACACATTGGACGATCGAGTCGAAGAATTATCATAGACCTTTTCATTTGACCTTTGTTTATTTATCCATACTTGTTGATATTTTCTCTCATAATCTTCATCTTTTCGATGTGCCCGAAATGCACGAAAACTTTATTACGAAAAAGCAAATCAAATATGTTAAACATAAAATAAAATAAAATAAAATAAAGGAAATTAAATACATGAATGATGATTTTCTCACCTTCCACTTTTTTTCATACATTTTTGTTGGTTACATCCAAAGACATATATCACTCTATCATAAACGGAACCCTCCAGAGGCACGTAACCCTGAAACAGCAAAAACATATCTTTATCACAATTCTTACAGATAATAACGTCATGTGATAAAGGATGCGTTTTGCGTAACCATGTTGGTTTTCCACCAATTTTTGTCGTATATGGGTCATGGTCTTCTTGTGATGACATCTCACCGTCAGAAAACCCTAACAAAGTCGATGATCTTTGTGATTCAAGATTTGTTTGTCTTGATATAGATTCATTTTGAAGAATATATTGGTTTGAAGTTGTGGGTGAATTATTAGAGTTTTTATTTTTAGGTGACTTATTCTTATCTATTACGGTTTTAATAGAAGAACTTGAAAGAGTTGTATTTTGAAAATTATTAGATGTGGCTTGACATTGTTGATTTAATGAATTTTTATCAAAAATCGAAATAGGCGGCTGTTTCTTTATTGATTTTGATTTTGACTTTTTCTTTGATCTACCCGTTTTTGGTTTTGGTGATGAATCATTATCTAAATATTTAACATATTTGGATTTTCTTGGATCCATTTTTATAATTTGCTTTGTGAGAAAAAAATTGCAGTGAATGAAGTGAGTGAAAAAAAATTATTGGTAGAAATTTTTTTTTTATAAAAAAAAAAAATGATGGTTGATCAGCCAAATTTAGTGAACAAAAGAACAAATACAATAAATCAACCAACCATGTACTGTAATTTCTAACGAAAAAAAAAAAAAAACGTGTAAAATACCTATATATATATTTACATTTTTTTTAACACGAGTTTTTTTTTTTAACAAGATAATATCACAATGGCTTCGATTTTCAAATTATTAGAAACTTTACGCCCAATTCTTGAATACCTTAATAACGATAAAAAAACATTATATTCATGCATTTTGGTAAATCGAACATGGTGTCGAATTGCGGTTCCAATCCTATGGCGCGCTCCATTTAAAAATCTTTTGCCGATAAGGCAATCAGGTTTAATTTCCACATTTATCGGATGTCTTGATGATGATGCATCCATAGAAAAATTAAAATTATTTGAAGATTTCCCTTTGGAAATACTGAAGATCCCAACGTTTGATTACGCTTCTTTTCTACATGAGCTTCAATTTTCATCATTATATGATGCAGTTAACTTTTGGTGTAAAGGACAAGATTTGGATCGTTACCAAAATGAAGAAGGAGACATTGTTTTTTATCCAGTAAAAACTATTCTGGAGATGCTTATTGAACAATTCATGGAAAAGTCAACAAACCTATCAAAACTTTCTATTCCAGTGATAACGCACCGAGAAGGAGATTTTATATCTTTGAAGAAACATGAAATGATGGTTCGAAAACGTTTGCCAAATATAAGTTACTTGGACTGTGATGATTGTATAATTGAGAATCTGAAAATCGCTTCCGAAGCTTGTACTAATTTGAGTCGATTAGACATTGATTGCTCTTGGGGAAATGATGAATATGTATCAAAGCTTTTAAGAGTTCAAAGTCGCTTACAACATCTAACAGTTATAAAAAGATGTCCGGATTTAAAAAATGCGATAAACGATGGAGATTTGAGGAGATCTCTAAGATGTATCGTGTTCCAGGATAATAGAAACTATATAGATAACGGAGGTTCTTTAAATGTGCTCGCTTCATGTAAAAGATTGGAAATATTGAGATTCGATTATTGGTTACCATTTCGAGAGAATGATATGAAAGAATTGGTATCTAATTCATTTCCAAGACTTCGAAAATTAAGCTTCACACATTGTATGCCAAAGGCTGACATTATTATAAACATGATTTTGACGAATGGGTTTAGCTTGCAAGAACTTACATTTTCATTGTCTTGGTACGATAGGCCAACTAACGTCATCAAGACGATAGCGGACAATTGTCCAAACCTAACATATCTTGATGTTCCCTTTGCAAGAACAGATCTGGAATCTTTTCGTGAATTATTGAGATCTTGTAAAAATCTCGAGAGTTTGACGATTAAAACGTTATCAGATCGTCGGGAACTTTCTTATGATATTGATCATTTCTTACCTATAATTGGTGCTGCTATTCCTAAATCTTTGGATCAATTCAATATCTTTGTACGTTGGACATTTACAGTAGAATCACTACGAAATTTTCTAATGAAAGATTGTAAAAATGATTTGAGGCGTTTGGGCTTCTTAGGGAATATTAATGATGATCATCTTGAAGTTATTAAAACATATGCCTATGAAAGAAATTCATTAAAGTATTTAGAATTGCGTTCATGTGAAACAAGTTTTGAAGCAAGAAAAAGTGCTAGAAAATACATAGATGTTGCTGCTTATGATTCATTTGGAAAAAAAATAGCACAACAAGAAAATTGACATTATTTATAGTAATTGTAATATAAAACAAATAGAATTTGCTATTACGTTATATGAAATCTTAAAAAGAAAATTTTTTTTATTAACATTTTTTTGTAACCTATATGTATTTGTTGCAACTAAATAAATTGAATGATATGTGAGATTTATTTTCTTTCTTATTCTTTTTTCCTTATTTTAGCCCACCTTTTTTTTAATTATCTGTATCCATCATATTTACATCATCTCTACATAAACAAAAGAACTTGTCAATTAAAGAATAAAAGATTGTTATTGTCTATTTTTTTCACTTACATAGGATCAAAATTAAGAGTACTAGGACCATCTAATTCCAACGGTAAATCTAAACAAGGAACTTGACCATTAGGCAAACAACCTAAAGCACAAGGTTTCCATTCATTAAGATCATGCATCTTCCATGCAAATTCCTTATTTGAAGGCATTGTATTATCACTATTTTCTAATATTACTACTTCGGAAGATACATCCTAAATTTTTAATATATATATATATATATTTTTTTTTTATTTTAAAAAAAAGGAGTTAATAAGTCATATATCCAAATAAATTTAATAAATTTTTAAATTCACCTTCATTAATTTATTAGCCTTATCCAGATCATGTTTTAACTTGAATATTTCAGCATTCATATCTTCTTCAGTAATTTTGGGTATATCTTCAACATTTTGAATAATATCCTTAACATGAAGCATTTTTTCAATATAATTCAGGAACGGGGTAATACTTTTATTTAATTCTTCATCACGTTCCGCCATAATTTGTAATATCAATTGAGTATACGCGTTTGGTTTACTTAAACATAATTCCAATATATCATTCACTTCTATATAAGCAAATAATGATGTATTTTCAATATAATAAATATTCAAAATGTGTTTGATCCATGCGACCAAAGTCATGCGATAGCTGGAACTTGCATGCGCAGGTTTAGATTGAGAGATGTCTTGACGAGTGCTCATGTCTAGTTTTATGTCATCCTTATCCCTAGTCAAAACTTCCAGCATTCCAAATATTAGCTCATCTCCAAAAGTACTCCATTTTTCTCCAAATGCGTTCAACATTGGCATCCATATTTGAATTAATTCTTGAGATAAACTTAGATCCCGAGCCAATACACGTTTTTTTTTTGCCATAGGAACCAAAACTCCAGGTTCCAATAAAACAGAAATAAGTATTTCTCTAATGTATTCCTCACTTATTAAATCCATTATGTTATTCACAACCTTCGTGGATGGATCGCGTTCATTAGTTTCATAACTATTCATATTCTCTTTTCGAAGTTCTTTATATTGTAATACCATAGAACGCATTTCATCAATTTGTGTTGATTTCCATGGCATTTGAGATGACCAAAAGTTTTCGTTTAACCATTGCAACGCCTAAATAAGTTTATAAATCAGTTTAATTGTTCCTAAATAATATTATAGAATAATAATTAAAATACGGTACATGTTTACATCCATTTCGTAATATTTGCAGACTTGGAAGACGTTCGTGAGTTCCCGCATGACGCAATTCTACAAACCACAATGGCATATGTAATTTAGTTGCGATAGAGGCTATCGATGAAGCAAACACTCCTTGTTGAGCTGGATCTACCATTCCATTTACAAACCTAAGATAAAGAATGATTAAAGAATATGTATATAAATATGATGATTTGAATTAAATTACTCTCATACCTAACAAAAACCATTGAGTATAATAATCTCAATTCATGAGTTGTAATCTTCCCGTATCCCAAATCATCTCTTAACGATGCTTCAACGAACGCGGCTGTACTTAAAATCGCATGAGGAACTCTTCCACGACTGGACCAAGCTTTTACCTATTTAAATAATTACGTCTAGTTAGAAAATTTAACTTTTTTATTGAATGATATGTATTTGTACCCTTTTAACTCCTAATTCACGCGACTTCGGAGATTCCGCGTAGAGCCATTTATGAACTTGTTGAAATTCCTCGGGGGATGTCCACGGTACAATTCTTGGTATTTTTTTCATGTTTGGAACTTTTTTTACATCTATAAGATCTCGGGGTATATCCTTCATTATCACGTGACATGTCATGAAATTATCCCCCAAAAATATGATCCGATCGACTTTATACAAAGCATTCTATTTCCTCCAAATTTCATCTGAAAGGAAATGCCTATATTTGAACGAATTACGCTTCCTATCAACCTTGTTTTCAAGCCAAAAATATGCCGAAAAAAAAGTAAATCATTGATTTTAAAGTTTTTAGAAAATAGTAAATACAAAACAAAGTTAAAAGTGATTAATCCGACTTTAAATGTAAGTTTATTATTATTATTTTTTTTTCTTGAAATCATAACTTCAATTAAAAGAATCGTTTATTATTAAATAGTTCACTATATCCGAACCTGGTAAGTAATGATTATATATTATGGACCAATGACCCGTAAATTAAAATGAATTTTTTTACTTAAAAAGAAGTGGTTAGCACAATGGCTGTTATTAGTGGAATCATGTTTACGACTGACTTGAGAGAGATGCGGAAAAAATTGAAACGCAAGGGTAAATATTCATCGGCATCTAACCAATTTCGCAAGTCGAAGAGAAGAAAGCTGAAGATTATAAAAGGAACTGGAAGAAGTTCTAAATTTGCAATAGCAATATTCGTTGTTGTAATTATTATTACAGCTGATTGTTTCTTTATACGTAAATCAGAATTCAACTTGTGATTTTGAAATGAACCTGGGTTCTCTAATACATTCTTAGGTAATATTAACGTAAAAAAAAAAAAAAACAGAAAAAAAAAAAGGAAGAAAGGAAGAAATACTTTTCAAGACAGATCGGGATGCTTTTTCTTTTATGGCCCAATCAGTTATTGCCACCGTGTTCTCATCACGTGATATGCTAATTTTTAGGCTGTGTCGGGTTTTTTCTTCTTTTTCTTTTTCTTTTTATTTGTTATTAAATAAAAAAAAATATTCTAATGGTCCGGTCAACACTGTGGCCATTATTGTCCCTCTTGGTTGTTTTTTTAACGTGGGTAACTTGTATAAGCGCAAATGAAGAAACTTTGGTAAGATTCATAAGATTATTTATTTATTAACCATAACACCATATTCATTTTTTATATTTTTCTGTATTTAACAGGATAATGATGTGCCAAGATGTTCGGGAATGTATGAAAAATCAGCAATTCCTGGGGGGAAGGATCCTGTTGTTACATGTGAGTATTTTGTATTTTATATACGTGACTAATTTAAAGTTTATTCTGTTGCAATTCGCTCATACAATTTCATTTAATATTTAGTAAAATGGAGATCAGATTCAAAAAGTAATGCCGCGGTAGTTATACTTGAATGGCAAGATATCGTTAAATTAGGCCATGAAGATAAAATCGAACAGAAGGTAAGAATTCGTTCGATTTTGCGTCCAGAATTATCTTTGATTTTTAATAACTAATCAAAAAAAAAAAAAAAATTTGTACAGAAAATTTACATTTGCGATGATGCTGCCATTAAAAATGAATATTGTCCCGAGTCTCAACGAAATAATTTCATTGTACCCGAAAATGATACGTCCATTGTCACTCACTTATTTAATGCTTCTTCAAAGGAGACATTAAAAACAATTCATTACCCCATTGAAAAGACAGGATATTATTGTGCTGTCGCATTTCCTATACCATCTAATAATGAAGAATATGAATACTATATTACTATTGATTGGCGAAATCCTTATGGAGAATTACCCGCCGCAGAGTATCCAAAATTACCTGTAATTATTTTTAAACTTTCAAAAACTTTATCAACGAAAGGGTTCTAACTTTTACTTGTCTAACATTTCAAAGTTCTATGGACTTTTGTCATTAGTTTATTTGGCGATCGGTATCGTTTGGATGACTTTAAGCATAATGTATTGGCGCGAAATATTACCTGTTCAGGTATAAGATAGCTTGGTGTATTTAGCAAAGCAAAAAGTTGACGTTAACTTTATATCAAAATTCTGATTTTATTTTAGAATTATATATCTGGAGTCGTCTTTTTTCTAATGTTGGAAATGGCTTTCAATTGGGGATATTGGGAGAATTATAATACGTACGGACGTTCATGTAGGTTTGTTTATAAGATGAAATAATCCATGAGACACGTCATTATCTTTACTTTTTCCTTATAATTCATTTATTAGCCACGTTCCTCATTATTTTGGTCGCTGTTCTTAATGCTGGAAGAAATTCTATTTCATTCTTTATGCTTTTGATTGTGTGCATGGGCTATGGTGTTGTCAAGTACGTAAAAATTTCAATATGACACATAATATGTTTACAAAGAAATTAAAGAGATATATTCTATCGCTACCCCGTAGACCTACACTTGGAAACACAATGAATAAATGTCGTGCTTTAGCCGCTACACATTTCTTGTTTGGCATAATTTATGCATCGGGCACAATGCTTTTGGACCCAGATGCTGCTAGCCCTCTCGTTCTCTTAGTGATTTTCCCTCTTGCTTTGACGATGACAATATTCTATATTTGGACACTTCAATCGATAACCATCACACTTCAAACACTTGAAATTCGTAAACAAAGCGTGAAAGCTTTAATGTATAAGCGTCTGTATCGGCTGCTTGTATTTTCGGTCACAGTTCTTGGAGTTTTCTTTTTCATAAATATGTTCAATTACCTTCATCGAGAAGATCCCGGATGGATATCTACATATTGGCTTTGGAGATGGTTTCTTTTGGATGGATGGTTGAATATATTATATTTGATAGTATTTTGTGTCATACTCGTAATTTGGAGACCTACGAAAAACAACAAGAGATATCCTTTGGATTGATTTAATAATTTAATTATAATAGTATTTTTTTTATTTTTTTTACACTTTATTTAATCCTTAACTTTTCATGTTTTCGTCAATTACATTCGCGATGAGTGAAGAATTAACACAAGATGATCCATACGAATTGGAAATCAATAACCTTCGAGCAGCTGAAAATCTTGGGTATGATAATGTGAAGTTTAGACCCGAGACTGAACGGTTACATGATGATAATGGGTCTGCTATATTTGACATTGGAGACGAACATGATGATGATGATGACTTTCATAGTAAATGGGATGACGAACAATCTACAATAAGAGCAAGTCATGGTGGTAGTTCTTCAAGTCATGAAGCAACTACTCAAAGGTAAAATTTTTTTTAACCCGATAATTAGTGGTCATTCTTGTGATAAGTTAAACTCACCATGAATATTTTTAGGATAAATGATGAAGAAAACCAAGATCATATCGAGCAAGAAATTTCAAAATTGAATTAAGTTGTTACTAAAAGTGTCATTTTTTTTTTGATGAACAATAATTAGAAAATTTTAAAACATAATTATATTTTATTATAAAGTAAATTTAATAATTAGTCTATTTTTTTTTTTTTTTTTCATTTGTATTTTACATTAAAAAAAAAAATAATTATTTAAACAATTAAAAAAGGTTTGGCACGTTCGTATGCACGAATGCACGAGCATGCATTTCACAAAATTTCAAACATCTTAGATGTTTTATGCAGGATCATCATTAATGTTATCAAAAAAAATAAAAAGGTTCATTGATCATTTCCTAGTTCAAACCATTCATGACATCACCTATACAACTTTAAAGTTCTGATTATTAGCAACAAGTTTGTTATCCGGATTATGAAAATTTATCGGAATTCAAATTCTATCACGAGATGTTAAGATTATTTTGTTTGGGGGATTGCAATGTTTATTTATCACATGGTAATTAGTCTCTCCAGGAAAAAAACCTGAATGAGTAAGCTTCCGGAATCGAGATAGGTTCACATCCGTGTAACTTGGTGTATATAATAAAAATGTACTTGTTAGTTTTGAATTTTTTATTTTTGATTAACCTGCTTTCTCCTACAAATATTTGTAAAACAAGGTTATTGAATAAATAAAAAGCCGAATAAAAAAAAAAATTTTTTTCTTTTTTTTTCCCAATTTATTTGAATACATTTTTTTTTTTCGGACATACTAACATGAGTTATCGAGGAGGTTATTGTTCGTTTGAATTTAAACTTGAAAATGTCTTAAAAGTAACGGAGAAAATTTATTCACCACCTTTTGCAACGTCAACTTGTCGACATTGGGTGTTGATCTTTGACCCGGTATTTGAATGAAATTATTATACATTTAAAAAAAAATATTTATTTAAAAAAAAAAAAAATTATTCATGAAATGATTTTTTTTTTTGTTTTTTTAAAAAAAAAAAAAAAAAAAATTAAATTTAAATAAATTAGTATACGAATGATCCAAAGACTTATCAAATCCTTCTTTGTACGATACTCAACAAAGAATCAGATCGGTTAGCGGATACCTTCTTGCCTTTAAAAGTGATATTGAAATCTCCTTCAGGGGATATTCTCCATGAAGTTTCTACGAATGATAAGATATTTAATAAAACCGGGTTATGTAAGTAATCAAAATTAAAAGAGTATCCAGAATTATGCGATGCACAAGAGGTAGATTACGTTAATCGTCAATCTACCCTAAATTTTAAATTTAAGCTGCGGATGGATGCAAAAAATGCATGACTTTTTAAGTATTGCATAAGTCTGGGCACTCTAAAAAAAAAAAATTAGACTCAATTTATCCAAGAATGAATTAATTGAATTAATTAAGTATTTTTTTTTTTTTTTAAAAAAAAAAAAACCAAAAATAAATTTTTTTTTCCCTCCTTTTTTTTTCAATGATATAGTTCTTGTTCACAAACGTCCAAGATCTTCGCTACTTAATAATATAATTATTAATATACAATTTAGTGATGTTCGATTCACTAAAGTTCCTCCCAAAATGCCATTTGGAACCAAACAAGTGGCGGAAAATTTAATTCACGCGTGGTCTCATGAATTAAACAAGCCGGATCGAGGAGACGTTAGATTTAAAGTTCAGGATAAATTTATTTATGCAAGCAGTTCAATTCTTGCGACGAGGTCGGATTATTTTAGGACAATGTTTGAAGGTGATTGGATAGAATGCAATAAACAAGGAATTTCGGCAAATGATAATGAGAATCGACATAAATATGAGATCGAAATTACGGATTTTGATTATGAAACCGTCCTTGCTATGCTTCATTTCTTGTATACGGATGAGGCCAATTTCGTAAATTATAGTTTAGACAATATATGGAACTTGTTTAGCATTTCGGATAAATATTTTGTGGACGAATTGAGACAAAGGATTAAAATTCATATCATTGATCTACTGAACGAAAGGAATGCAGCTGAAATGTTATTTAAATATGCGTGGAAATGGCCCGATTTAAAAGATATCATCATAACGTTTAACGTTGAACACTTTTTAAAAATTAGAAAGACGAGAGGATTTAAACAAATCGTTTCTTCGAAATCAGACTATCCAATGTATCATGAAATACTTGAAGAAATGATTTTAGAATTATACTCGGAGGATGAAAATCTGTGATGACGTTTCTTTCTTTTTTTTTTATCTTTATCTTTATCCTTTCTTTTATTCTTTTTATTCTAATTAGTTTTCTAAAGTAATAAAAAAAAAAAATATAATAATAATTATTTTCATATTTTCGTCGTGGAACGCTTCACAGGATCGACCTGTTTGGAGATCCAAAAAAATATAGTTTGTTTTTTTTCCCCCTTCCCCTAATTTTTTACAAAACAAATATAAATATCCTTATTTTTCTAAAAATAGAAACCTATTTCGTTCGAATTTGTATTACAAATAAAAAATACCACAGTGAATTTCCGCGCCCTTTTCCATTTCCGCTGTTAACAAAAATCAACCCCCTATTATTGTAGTCACCGATGACCGAATATCTTTTGTTACAATTTCTTTTGATAGGGTTTTTTTTTTCTTTTTTTGGTAAAAGATTGTTAAAAGAAATAATTAAATGACATACAGATATATACTCATTTATTTTTTTAATAACTGAAAATCGGTTTTATTACTCGGATCAGATGTTTTAATAAAACCATCGATCCAATAGAACCTTTTAATAGAATCTAATTACAAATTGTTATTCAAAATTTCTTTGATGAGGAATAACCATCTCTGATAAACAATCTTTATAGATGATTTAAGACTAGTAGTTAAATTTCGTTGTTGAATTTAGAATAAATTAAAATTTATTTATCGTGGGAAAGAAGAAAAGCACAAAAGCATGTGATCCATAATTATTTGTATTACTACATATTACAGGAAGTCTAACATTAGGGTTTTTTAGATCAAAAAAAAAAAAAAAATCTCCAACACGAATTCATCAGAATTTTTTTGTTTTTTTTTCGGATCGGCATAATTTGTAACAGGTCTTTTAAATATGATGTTTAGATGACGCGATTAAAATGGTATTCAAACATGAAATTTCCCTCCTAATTTGGAATCGAAGACCTTATAAAAGGACGTCTTTCACCTTTTAATTTTTTAATTTGATCTTTTGTTTTTTTTATTCAATTCCAACAATTTAAAAATGAGTCTTCCAACAGGAAAGACGTGCCTTTTCGAATTTTCTTTGAATGATGTAAAAAAGTTCAACGTTCCCGTGGATTTTCCAATATTTTCTACGTCAGGCATTCATAGTTGGCAATTATCCTTTAATCCCGTAAGTCCAATTCAAATTATAGTGATCTCTCATATTGATTTCATAAACTTGATAATTTCATTTTGTAGCGTTTTAATGGAGAAGAAAACTTCAATTTAAGCCTAATGCCAAAACTGGGACTCAAATCAGACAAGAATCCATCCAACCATTGTAGCTATAACAATATAACGGATATAGCGTTATTTGTAAAGACTTTAGGTGGACAAGTCATCAAGTACGGGACAACAAGAAGTAAAGAAAACATTCTTGAGTGTAAGTAAACGATTATTTATGCTTTAAAAAGAATTCACGATAGATAGATAGAAATTCATTCTCATGTTAAAATCTTTTAAAAGGTGTGATAAAGGGTATGTGGATGTGCTGTTCTCGATCCTTGCTTTTAAATGATGTCATTGTTGGGGTGAAGATTTACACCGATAGAGCGGAGGATAACCTCGTGGATAGTTTTTTTCAACTTCGATCCGTTCCACTTAATTTAATTAATGCTTGGACCAAGGATTTGAACAATTCGGATCGAGCAGACGTGAAATTTAAGGTACATGGATCCAACCTGTACGCGAGTAGTTCCGTCCTGACAAGTCGATCGGAGTACTTCAAGACCATGTTTAATGGTAAATGGAGAGAATGTCGTTCGAAAATTTCTGCAGATCCTCAAAGAACTTCGTCAAAAAATCAAAAGAACAATAATTCGAATCAATATAAATATGAAGTCGAAATTGTGGATTTCAACCAAGAAACGATACGTGCAATGTTACATTTTTTGTATACGAACGAGATACCACCTTACAATGATGTTTGTGATGATCGTATTTGGTCCTTGTTCATTATTTCTGAAAAGTACCTTTTAGATGACCTTCGAGCGATAATTAAGAATTACATATTTGACAGGTTGGATGAAGAAAACGCCGCCAAAATATTATTCACTTATGCTTGGAAATGGCCTGATTTGAAGGATCCAATCTTGAAGTTTGTTGTGGATAAGTTTAACGCAATTCGAAAGACCGTTGGATATAAAAATATCGTCGCCAGTCCATTAGGTTATCCAAGTTTTTTTAATTTGAATACGGAAATTTTGTTAAAATTATATCCTGATTGAATTCTTTTCCGGAATAATTAAGGTTCGAAATCCCCCTTTTTTTTTCTTTTGTTTAGAGATAGTTGATTGTTAATAGAAGCAATCTTAAAATAGAAGCAATTTGTTTGAACCTTTTAGATCAGACAATTGTAATAGTATTAGATTTGTTTTTGTAAATTTGTTTTGAATCTTTTAGAATAATCAATAGTATAGAATTGGATTTGTTTATTTGTAAATATAAGCTATTTGTTTTGACAAATTGTAATAGAATTAATAGAATTGTAATAGGTTTAGATTTATTGATTTGTAAATTTAAGCGATTGGTTTAAATCGTGAATAATTGTATCAATACAAATAAAAAATGTTCTATTAAAAGGGCTTTATTCACGTGACATTATTCTACCATGTTCATCTTACGTTAATTCGGGCCGGAATTAAAATCGGACATATTCGATGGAAGTATCACTGTTGTGATGTTGTGAAGAAACGGTTTTCCGAATAGGACGGGACGGACACGATTTCATCACTCATGAAAATTTAAAGGAACCAAGACCGGCCTCCTTGGATTTCTTTATTTGCATCTAACCTGTTCAATTGAATATAATAATATATACGATGGTATTATATTATTCGCGTGGTTCGCGAAAAGATTCGACATTTTTTTTTTTTTCGTACACGGTCGTTATTATAGCACATTGATTGGTATAATGTGGGTGGTCCCAAGTAAGTTGCAATATGTATGACACCCACTTACGAAAGATTACGAAATATTACGTAACGTATGACGGTAAACCGGATCCCAAAGATGCGCTTTTTTTTTCGTTAAAAATAGCACATCTATGGTCAACAATATAAAGTATGATTTATTTGAAAAACTATTACCGTATTCCTCCAAAATTAGGCACTCCTATCTTATTTTGTTAGTATCCGAAAATAAGCACTATCAACATTTTTTAGTATCCGAAAATAAAATAAATGCTAAAACAAACCCGATTTATTAAATATTTTATAAATTTCAATGTTTTTTATTTATTTTATTTAAAAGAATTCATCGCCATCAATATTTCTTTCATCATTATTAATGATTGCCATCACTACTCTACTATTATCGTCATTATCGTTCACTGCTAACACACTCGGAATTACCGCTAAATGATATCCACTTTCGCGAAACTTTTATTTCACGGATTCTTCTTTATGACCCCTAAATGAAACGTGTTACAAATATAAAGCATTTATCATTTTTGCATAGCTTCTGAGATTAAAATTTAGCAATTTTGTTAGTACCCGAAATTAAGCATCTCTATAGCAAAAAGGTGCTTAATTTCGGAGGCATACGGTATTTTTTTTTTTTTTTTTACGCAAATTTATTATTTTTGTATTAATTTAATCATATAATATAATGTAACATTTCTCATTTAACGTGGGTTGCCCCAAGTAAGTTTTCATTATGTATGTATGACACCACATCCCGGAAAGATTACGCAACGTATGACCATTATTCATAAAGATAACCATTATCAAAAAATACAGGACTGAATGAAATCGGTGATTGACGCGTTTTTATACAGAAACAGGTAATAAAGTTCGGGGCGCATGTTATTTTAATTTATTCGTGGATGATTTTTATTTTTTTAATAAAAAAGATGACATTTTGAAATCACATTACCGTTTTAGGAAGGCTCATATTATCCGTCATTTTAGTCAATTTCATTGTGAAAAACATTTGATCAAAATTTAATTAATATCATGGATGAAAAAGAAAACAAACAAAGGAAAAATTTGAGAATGACTTGAAGGATTTTTAAGATTCATTTTGAACCCCGAAATGGAACCGACTGCGATTCGCGAAACATCTCACGTGATTCTGAAACGAAAAGGATCTACAAATCCCCATTCAGTTTTGGAAATTCACCCAAAGTGTGAGGAATCGTCAAAGGTGGAGAAAATAATTTCCAAACATGACAGACAGGATAAAAATATCAGGATTAAGGCAAAACTGTAGAAACAAGAAAAGAAAAAAAAATAAAAGATAATTACAACTTTCAACCATTGTGATGTGAATGATAGAGACGTTCTTTAATTCATTGTCCAGATGAACGAGATCTTGCGATAAAAAAAGGGATGGTTTTATTTTTATTAATAAGCTAATTTTGGTTCATAAAAAAAAAAAAAAAATTTCATTTCCACTTCATTTTTTTTTTCATTCAGGCTTTTCAACTTGAATGAATCGATGCATCTTTTTTTTTTTTTTTTTCGTGATTATTCAATAAATAAAGATGGTCAATCCTCACCGATTTATTTTTTTTTTTTTTTTAAAAAAAAAAAAAGGCTATTAATTTCCAAAAAGAAATATAAGAAATGCCGCTTTTTCCGATTATTCAAAGCAACTTCTTTATTGCAGCGGGAAATTTTGATTGTATCAATGATTAGGATGTCATTGTATAATTGTTCTGCAAATCACTGTTAAATTGATGAAATTGATGAAATTTGATGAAATATTATCCGAAAAAAAAAAAAAAAAAAGTTGAATGAATCTTTCCAAATATATTCAATGATTCATCCGAAAAGTTGTTTTTAATGGATAAATTTATTTTATTTATTTATTTATTTATTTTAAAAAAAAATTAAATATGGATTCTATTGATTAGAGTAAAAACAAATTACTAGATAAAAAGATTGACAATATTCCGATTTATAGGAAATAAAAAAATAAAAGAAAGACAAAGTAATTAAAATATAATAATAATAAACAATAAACATATATAAAATATAAAATATCTACAATTTACAAGATTATTTTTTTTTTTTTTGGTAAGGAGATGAAATAAAAATAAAGCAAAAAGCAAATAAATCAAACTTCTTAAAAATGCAAAAGAAGCAAAAAAAACGATTAATCGTGTAAATTGCATATGGTTGGTTCCATTTCATCTTTGTCCCAATTCATTCCACTCATCAACCGATGAAAACTGTACATGCATTCACGTTCGCTATCGCTTAGCTTTTCTTCGCTTTCAATGCATTGTTGTATGATCTTCCTTGCCCTTTCAACCATTAATGTTTTTTGTGAGGGTAAGATATTATGCTTAAAGTAATAATCCAAAGTAAATCGAAATGAAAAGAATGCTTCGTGTCCTCCAATCTTTTGTGATAATTTGGCATCTCCCTGTCTCGATAATTTTAAATCCAATTTTTCTAGAATTTTGCTTCGTTCTCGAGAAAAGGAAGGCATCAATTCATTGATGTATATAAAAGTGTATAATCGATCCGCGATCATTTTCGTTATATCGAGAGGGGATATTTCAGGAATCGTTTCGGGACATTCTTTGGAAAGGAACAATTGGCAGCCGGAGAAAATGGAAGGCAACTGTTTCTTTATTCTACAAGCGATGTGAATTGCTCGATCTTTTGCCTTCTTCTCGGAGAAATACTCTGAATAAAAATCCTCGGTCGTGTATTCGGAGGAATTTTTCGATGCGATGGAAGAGGGTTGTGAGGTATGATCAATTGTTGAGTTCAAGTTTTCATTGTTACTTGAATCATCGAGATAAGAAGTAATTTCACTGTTATTCTCGTCATTAATTATCATCAAAGTGCTTAAACGTTTGGATTCCCGTTTAATAATTCGCATCGTTCGAACAAAGTTTCCCGAATTATCGGCGAAATCCAAAGGCAAGTTCAAACTTGTTGAAGAAGGGGAATGTATTGGTGTAATCGCTTCATCATAATCATCAATTGTCGAATCAGATTCGGATGAAACTTCATGATAACGTTTCTTTATGGATTTTTTTAGCTTCCTTGATTCGGTCTGAATGTGAAGGCTCAACCGTTTTGGAAAGAGACGCATCTTTAATTTTTTATTTTTTATATATTAATTTGTTTTTTTTTTTTTTTTTTTTTTGAAAGAGAAAGGAAGGTCAGGCGAGAAGAAATTGAAAAAAGATTATCTATCAATCTATTATTATATTCTTTTTCTTTTCTTTTTAAAAAAAAAAAAAAATAAAAGAAAAATTCTTGTAGTGAATGGAAAAAAAAAAAAAAATCTCTGGTATTTAAACGTATTAGAGCTGATGATTGTTTAATCGAATTTTATTTTAAAATGAAAAAAAAAAAAAGGTTTAAATGAAGATGATGCCCGCTTGGAAATCTTGCAATCTATTTAATCTATTTTGTAAGTTTATTTTATGAATGGTTGATTGAAGAATGAGTATGAAAAAACTTTTCCGAGACAATACAGGATAAATTCTATGAGGATGAATGATAAAAAAATTGACAGATTGTTAAACGTTTTTTTTTCCCCAAGAAAAAAATTATTTTATTTATATAAAAAAAAAAAATTATAAAGAATGGAAAAAAAAAAAAAAAAAAAAGTGAATCACATTACATATAAATATGTATATTTTACATACATAAGTTTAAATTAGGGATGGATTTTCCAATTTTTTTTATTTTATTTTGTTTCCTTGATTATTTTAATAATATATTGTTTTTGGTTTATTTGTTTTTCAATTTAAAGAAGGATGTGACGAATTACAATTCGATAAAAAACGAATACATGTGCGTGACACTTGTAAACATTTCAACGTTAGCTTTAATTGGATTAAAGGATTTACTTCTTTCTCATCTGTCTCAAGGGGGTGCAAAAAAAAAAAAAACAACGACGAGGGACGTTACAAAAAACAATCATGTATTCTTTTTTTTTTCGCCCATTATCATTGATGCAAAATCACAAGAGATACCGCTAACATCAAAAACCTGCAGATATCTGCAATTTGATGATATCTATTTGGTAAATAAAAAAAAAATTCCAAATTTGTTGAAACTGACCAGAACGTTTAAAATTTGCCATATTTGTTTATGATAACTCCGATTTTCCGCTACCCTTAAGACAAACGGAGATCCGATTCCGGAGCTATAACTGAAAAAAGAATCCGATTTCACTTTTTTTCTTATTTTTTCCTTTTTCCTTTTTTCGACAGCAAACTCGTATTTTGGATTCGGATGAAAGGTTTGAGAAATCCTTCTATAAAATAAAGTATTCATTAACCATTAAAAATTTATAACATGAGATATTATAACATGAGATATTCAAAACGAAACAAAAACCAAATTTAAAAAAGTTTCTAACCATCTGGTCCCAATTCTGAAACTTTTTTGATTGTAAATTATTGAGAAATTTTCGGCTGTAAACTAACCAAATTTCCAAATTGATCATGATCGGTAATGATGACATCAGTTGTGCTTTTGTATGTTGTGACGTATATTAGGCTAAATTCATTTGTTCATTATTTTTAAATTTTGGGCGGAACTCTGACGGAGTGGTGTAAATTGAAACATGCCGCAAAGTGACGTTTATCTGATACGTTCAAAATTAAATATAAAACTGTGGAAAAACCTTTTTGTTTGACTGAATTTTACAATTATCAAATATAAAAAAATATATATTTACATATGGCTGCGCCACAAGAAAGTCATGCATTAGACGAATCCTCGCGGTGGGACACTGGCAGGTATCACTCGATCGAAGATATTTCAAATTCTAAAAGGGTTGAAACCTTTGCCAAAGAAGGACTTTTAAACGTATGCGAGTACGTAATTGAACAAGTTTGATCCCTTTTTTTTTTTGTCAACCCGTTTGGAAATTGAAACTCTTTATACCCTATAATTAGTTGGGTCGTGACAGAAAAAATCCATGGGAGTAACCTCTCTTTTATCACAAACGGTGAACAAGTCCAATGCGCAAAAAGGTCACGACCTTTATCTGATTCCGAAGAGTTCTTTGGGTTTCAATCGGTAAAAGAAAAGTACCTTTCAAACATTCTCAAATTATGGCGAATAATGTCCACCAGAAACTTGATTCATTCGACTTTGAACTCCTCCGAAAAAATCGTTACGATATACGGGGAATTATTCGGAGGGAGGTATTCTCACCCGGATGTAAAGCCAGTTAATTCTGCCGTGATGTGTCAATTCGGGATCGAATATTGTCCGCAAAACGAATTCATGGCATTTGACATATTTGATGGAAATGATTATTTAGATTATGATCTTATGACGGAAATATTTGCAGAATCCGGCGTTCCCTTTAATAACCCATTATTTAGAGGTTCATTTGAAGATGCTTACCGTTACGATCCTAAATTTACTACCACGATTCCGGTATGCATTAAAGAAATAAATTAAAGAAAACAAATAATTAATTAAATAAATTCGAGATTAATGTAATTGGTTAATACATACATGCACATGTACATTCTTTATTTTACAGAGTATATTCGGATTGCCACCATTACCATTTCCAAATAAAGCTGAAGGTGTGATAATTAAACCGGTGAAAACGCTTCATGTAACCTCGGGTGCAGCGCGCCAGACACGTGTGATCTTAAAGATCAAGTCTCCGGACTTCGTAGAACGGGTTCGGTCCAAAAAGCGTGAGTTCAGAGAAACATCACGTAGTGAACGAAAGAAACCACGTGAACCAATGGACAATTTATTTGCCGAACTTGCGACATTTATTAACGAGAATAGGGTTGCCTCTGTTATTTCGAAATTCGGTCCCATCGTAACTAAAGGTGAGGAGGAAAGTGAGCTGAATGAGAGAATTAATCAAGTTTCCGAATTATTATACAAGGATGCATTAACGGACTTTAATAAGGATGATGAGTTACGGGAAAGAACAGAGAAATTGCCAAATTGGCAACAAGAAGTTATTTGGAAAAGAGGTAATGCAGAGGCCATGAAGGTCGTTAAAGGATATGCAAGGAAAATCAAAAGCGTACATTTAGACGACAGTAAAAGGGATAGTAGTGATGGGGAATATGAATGAAGGTCATCTATTTGTCACACATCTAAAATGTCACCTGATTATACTCTGTAAAGTAATATAAATCCGATATTGTAATACCGGTTTGAAAAAGTTTGAAACGAATATTTAAATCAAATTTGTCTATCAAGTACAAAAAAAAGACTTCATTATGAAATGACTAATAGAAAGATGTATCTGATTTCAATCAACAGAATTATACAAAAAAGAAAGTTCATTGTGCGAATTCATTTTGTGTAATATTCGTTGCTCATTCTGAACAATTTTTGCAAGGTTTTTTCTTTCCAAAAACGGACACTATTTAATATAATTTAAATTTAAATTAAGGTCATGCACAAAAAATATTAAACAAATGATTTATTTTTAGCATTTCATACAATCTAGACTATAACAAGAAATGGTGCAATGATAGAACCAAAAATGTTTAGCATAAAAAAGACATCTTTTATTTTCCGGGAATTTATTTTCGTAACACATTTGATACATTTGAGATAACCCAACTCAACTGATTGGTTTTTATCACCAGTATGAATCATGCGTAGTTATGGTAAATTTTTGCCATGGCGCAGTGCATCTTATCGCGTACATGCTTTGTGAAATATTCGTTTTGTCAGTTTTATTTGCTTTGACTAAAGTTGGAAGTCACCATGTGGAACAAGATTGAGTAATTTTGGGTATAATGAAATGTGGCTCAGCATAGTTTTTGTATATTCCGATTAATAAGGAGGGTCTAGAAAAGTTTTGAATAATATTTAAATGAAATATTTTACGTTAGATAATAATGTAATACCTCAAAAGAGCAATTTTAAATGAATTCCATTTTTCAGAAAAAATATCCTATATCTAATAACCGTAACATATACCGAAAAATTATAATCTAAAAATATAGATAAACTTAGAAGGTTGCTTGTATACAAAAAAAAAAAAATAAATAAAAATACTTATGAATCCATAAATGCTCACGGATTTTATGCAGTGGTAGTAGTAATACAGTTATCATTTATGTAAAATAGTAATTTAAAAATCTTCTTAAAAGTGTATTCTTTTAGGTTACAAAATAAAAGACTTGCTGACTTGTCTTTGAAATATAACTGCATGGTTCTTGGTAACACATCTTATCAGACAGTTTTTATTATAATTGATATTGTATGCTTTATTTTGATAAACTTATCACTATAACAAATGAAAATATACATTGTAAAGATAAATATAAATAAATGCATACAATTCTATTTTCTGATACAACTTTTGCTAAAAATAAATCTAATAATTGGTAGATCCATGTTTTTATTATAGTTAACTTGCAAACTTTTATAATAATAATAAAGAATAAAATGACAAGAAACTTCTTTTATCTATAATAATGACTTGGATTATCAATAAGCAGTTGATTTAAACTGATTCAATGTTAAATATTACTATCAAGTATTCTCTTAAGATATTGCTTAACTTTAATAAAAACTTACTGTTATATTGATAACACAAACTATTTGATTTTATAATTCCTTAGTATTTAATATAAAAACTTAATAAATAGATAAATTTTGTTGATTTTTTAACTTTAAAATTATTTTTAATAATAATTTTTATTCTTAATAATATCATTATAAAAACAGATTAAAAATAAGAAAACATTTTTATTTTAGTTAATAAATTATTATAACTTTTTTTTTAAATTTATTTTTCACAGTAATTAAAATTATCTAAAGTTACTTTCTTATTATTAATTTATTTAGTAAATTTAATATTTACAATTATATATTATCTTTAAAGATCAATTAAGTAAATAATAAGTCAAAGATTTATAAAATATACTTTATTATATAAGATTTTTATATCTAATCAATACAACTTATAACTAATTATTAAAAAATAAATAACTATATAAATAAATAAAAAAATACTTTTATTTATATTATAAATGTTTGCCAAAACCTTCTTAAAATAATTTCATCATACTCTTTTCTATGTTTTAATATAATTTCAACAGTTTTAACTTTCATTATAAAAGAGTTTTATTGTATCTCTTATTATAATTTTAATATAGTTTTATTTAAGTTTTAATTGTTATTAAGGAGTTTCATCTCTCATTTATATTTATTCCTAATTATAATTTTAATTTTTTAAAATTATTTTTTCTCTTATAATTAATCATATTATTTTCTTTTATATATAATTAAGCATCTTATATAATTTAATTAAATTATATCTTAATAAGATAAATCCAATGATATTTAATTTATATCTCTAGACATAAAACTCACAAAATAATGAAAATTATAAAAAATATTATCAGTTTTTTTTGCTACTACAGTACAATATTTTATTTTATAAAATATAAAAAAATAATAAAAAAATTAAAATATATTTCAAATAAATATAATACATTATTTTTATATAATATATAATGATGAGGGACGAAACCCCTTAATAACAGTCGAAACTTAGACGAAACTATATTAAAATCATAATAAGGGATATGACGAAACCCATTCGATACGACAAAAACTGAAACTGTCGAAACTATATTAAAAACATAGAAAAGAGTATGACAAAATTATTTTGAGAAGGTTTCGGCAGGCATCTATATCAAGAACCTTTAACGATTTCTCTCTTCTTCCATCATAACAAAAGCACCCTCTTCTTGACGAAACAAGTTTAAGAGAATACATGTCAGATAAAGAATGATCTATTTTTTTTATGTTATATAATAACTGTAATACAATAAAAATATAATATAATAGTTATAATTATATATATTATCTAAGCTACTGATATCACGTGATTAATATTAGTATATGTAACCTAAGATTCCCTGCTACTCCTACCCTTTAAAATATTAGATAATATATATCATTACCCTTAGTGTCATTAGTTTTTGCATAATATGTATTTAAAAAATTTCGTTTTTTTTGTCCCACACTGTATATAAGCTGATCTTAGTATTTCTAATTCTCTAACCATCTGATCCTCTAATCAGAATCTCAAAAGTAGCAAGAAAGTAATAAAAAGGTGATGATAAGGTTCTGAGAATATATTTCATATATGATTTTTTTTACATCACCTAACTGCAACACAATTTTTGCAATTAAGGCTGGCTAAGCATTTTAGTCATAAAAAGGTTATAAAGCATTGAAAACAAGCAGATAGCTAGAAAAAAATAAAAAAAAAAGATAGAGCAATAAAATCAAGCAATAAAATCAAGCGTATATTTATAAAATAATAAAAAGGCTATAAAGCAATAAAATCAAATGAATAGTAATAAAGTAATAAAAGGCTATAGAACACTGAAAATAGTAACTAGGTAACATTATACTCATAATTAGATAACATTATAGCATAATTAGATAACATTCTTATAAAAGTTTTATCCAGTAATCTGGTTTAAATCTAAATTTAACAAATTAGTTTAAATCTAAATTTGATTTAAATCTAATAGATAGAATCTTAAATTTAAATCTGACAAATTAGTTAAATTCAAATCAATATAAAGTTATATTAAAATTTTAAATTTAGATTTAGGTTATATATGTATTTTTTAGAATTTAAGAAAATTAGTTAATTTAATACAGATATTTTATTGTTTTACTAATTCAAGATAAAATATGTAAGATATATTCTGATATAATTATTATAAATATAATGTAATCATATTATATAAAATAATTTAATTATCTTTAATATATTATAAATTAGTATTGGTAAATGACCTTGAAAATGACTTTAAATGATCTCAAATGACATCATTTTTATTATAAATTTTAAATTAAAATGATTAAAGGTTATTTAAAAAATAGTAAATGATCTTATAATTTACCATCACTGTTATAAATGATATATATATATTGTTAAAGTTTTTTAGTTTGTATTTTAACATTTATAATATTTTTATATTTAGCAAATAATAAAAATAAACATTTCTTTTTTAAATTAAGATAAATACCTGTAACATGAATGATACATTACTAGTATTAAGTATTTTCTTTGTATATGTTATATCTATTAACTGATTGATTTTTAAATCAGAAAATTTTTATAGTGATTGTTTTTTGTATAAATTAAGGTTGCTTGTCTAAACTCATTTTAAATTTGACAAAATATCTAAATTATAGTTTTGCTAATTTTTTACTAAGATTTTGATATAGTTTTGCATTTTTATAAGCTTCAATATAATTTTATTTTTTTTAGAATTTTACAGATTTTTAATAAGGTTTTAATATAATTTTGATAACTTTTAACTTTTTTCATTTAAACAACTTGTAAAACCTCTAAGTTTCATTTAGCAACCTTAGTTTAGACTTTTAATTATCAAAATAGATGATTATTTAAGGCCTTTGCAGTAGAAAAATCGGAAACTCTGAAAAACATGATTTTGAGATAATTGAGTTTGAAATTTTGATCACATGTAAACAGATCGACAGTCTGCAGAATTAAAAATAGAATTAACCCATTATAGTCTGATCTGTATTATATTGTTTATTTATTTTAAAATGCAATAATAAAAAGCCGTTAAAATAAAAAAATTAACGTTTTTCGAAATGAGTGTCTGGAGACATTTTTTCCGCAAAATAAACGCCTGGTGATGTTTTTTTCTGTGAAATGAACGTCCGGTGATATTTTTTTTTGCGAAATGAACGTCCGGTAACATTTTTTTCACGAAATGAACGTCTGGTGACATTTTTTTCGCGAATTGAACGTCCAGTGACATTTTTTCCGCGAATTGAGTGTTCGGAAACATTTTTTCTGCAAAATAAACGTCCGGTGACGCTTTTTCCGCGAAATGAGCGTTCAGTGACGCTTTTTTTACCAAACGAACGTCCGGCGACGTTTTTTCACGAAATGATCATCTGGAAACATTAATCTATGGAATTAATGTTCGAATATTCAATGTATCATGTTAATCTTACGGAATAATGTTAATCCAAAACCTTGATTTGCATAAATGATCAAAAAAGGCCTTCTGTGTAGATTCTTTTAGTTTTGAAATTTAAAATTAATTTAAAATTAACTAATTGGATTTTATTTTATCAAATTTGATATTTATAATAGCTATCTCTTTTTAATTCTACCCCTTTTTTATTATTTTCTTTTCATGTGATTTTTTTTCTTTCTTTTCTGCCCATTGTGGTAGTTATATCAAAAATATTTGCACAATTTTCCCATTGCGTAGTTGCGCCTTTTTATTATTTTTCCTTCACACACACACACACACACATACACACATACATACACATACTCGCACACTCACACACTCACACACTTTCTCTCTCTCTCTTTCTCTCTCCCTCTCTCTCTCTCTTTCTCTTTTTCTCTCTCTCTCTCTCTCTCTCTCTTTCTATTTATCTATCTATTTATCTTTTTTAACAATAACTTCAACACATTTTTTGTTTGAAAGTATTTTTAATAATACTCATGCAGAACTTTCAAGTTTACAACATCAAATGAA